AAGCTCGTCCTAGCGTCACACCAGAGGCGGAGTATGTACCTTGTTAACTTCGTCCTAGCCTCACACTAGAGGCGAAGTATGTATACCTTGTTAACCTCGTCCTAGCGTCACACCAGAAGAGGGGTATGTACCTTGTTAACCTCGTCCTAGCGTCACACCAGAAGAGGGGTATGTACCTTGTTAAGCTCGTCCTAGCGTCACACCAGAGGCGGAGTATGTACCTTGTTAACTTCGTCCTAGCCTCACACCAGAGGCGAAGTATGTATACCTTGTTAACCTCGTCCTAGCGTCACACCAGAAGAGAAGTATATACCTTGTTAGCCTCGTCTTAGCGTCACACCAGAAGAAGGGTATGTACCTTGTTAAGCTCGTCCTAGCGTCACACCAGAAGAGAAGTATATACCTTGTTAACCTCGTCTTAGCGTCACACCAGAAGAGGGGTATGTATCTTGTTAACCTCGTCCTAGCCTCACACCAGAGGCGGGGTATGTACCTTGTTAACTTCGTCCTAGCCTCACACCAGAGGCGGAGTATGTACCTTGTTAACTTCGTCCTAGCCTCACACCAGAGGCGGAGTATGTACCTTGTTAACCTCGTCCTAGCCTCACAACAGAGGCGGAGTATGTACCTTGTTAAGCTCGTCCTAGCGTCACACCAGAGGCGGGGTATGTACCTTGTTAAACTCGTCCTAGCGTCACACCAGAGGCGGAGTATGTACCTTGTTAAGCTCGTCCTAGCGTCACAACAGAGGCGGAGTATGTGCCTTGTTAAACTCGTCCTAGCCTCACACCAGAAGACTGGTATGTACCTTGTTAACTTCGTGATAGTCCCACACCAGAGGCGAAGTATGTATACCTTGTTAACCTCGTCCTAGCGTCACACCAGAAGAGGGGTATGTACCTTGTTAACCTCGTCCTAGCGTCACACCAGAAGAGAAGTATATACCTTCTTAACCTCGTCTTAGCGTCACACCAGAAGAGGGGTATGTACCTTGTTAACCTCGTCCTAGCCTCACACCAGAGGCGGGGTATGTACCTTGTTAACTTCGTCCTAACCTCACACCAGAGGCGAAGTATGTATACCTTGTTGACCTCGTCCTAGCGACACACCAGAAGAGAAGTATATACCTTGTTAGCCTCGTCTTAGCGTCACACCAGAAGAGGGGTATGTACCTTGTTAAGCTCGTCCTAGCGTCACACCAGAAGAGAAGTATATACCTTGTTAACCTCGTCTTAGCGTCACACCAGAAGAGGGGTATGTACCTTGTTAACCTCGTCCTAGCCTCACACCAGAGGAGGGGTATGTACCTTGTTAACTTCGTCCTAGCCTCACACCAGAGGCGGAGTATGTACCTTGTTAACTTCGTCCTAGCCTCACACCAGAGGCGGAGTATGTACCTTGTTAACCTCATCCTAGCGTCACACCAGAGGCGGAGTATGTACCTTGGTAACTTCGTCCTAGCCTCACACCAGAGGCGGAGTATGTACCTTGTTAACCTCATCCTAGCGTCACACCAGAGGCGGAGTATGTACCTTGTTAAACTCGTCCTAGCCTCACACCAGAGGCGGAGTATGTACCTTGTTAACCTCGTCCTAGCCTCACACCAGAGGCGGAGTATGTACCTTGTTAAACTCGTCCTAGCCTCACACCAGAGGCGGAGTATGTACCTTGTTAACCTCGTCCTAGCCTCACACCAGAGGCGGAGTATGTACCTTGGTAACTTCGTCCTAGCGTCACACCAGAAGAGGGGTATGTACCTTGTTAAGCTCGTCCTAGCCTCACACCAGAGGCGGGGTATGTACCTTGTTAACCTCATCCTAGCCTCACACCAGAGGCGGAGTATGTACCTTGTTAAACTCGTCCTAGCCTCACACCAGAGGCGGAGTATGTACCTTGGTAACTTCGTCCTAGCCTCACACCAGAGGCGGAGTATGTACCTTGTTAAGCTCGTCCTAGCCTCACACCAGACGCGGAGTATGTACCTTGGTAACTTCGTCCTAGCCTCACACCAGAGGCGGAGTATGTACCTTGTTAACTTCGTCCTAGCCTCACACCAGAGGCGGGGTGTGTACCTCGTTAACCTCGTCCTAGCCTCACACCAGAGGCGGAGTATGTACCTTGGTAACCTCGTCATAGGGTCACACCAGAAGAGAAGTATGAACCTTGTTAACCTCGTCTTAGCCTCACACCAGAAGACGGGTATGTACCTTGTTAACCTCGTCCTAGCGTCACACCAGAGGCGAAGTATGTACCGTGTTAAGCTCGTCCTAGCGTCACACCAGAGGCGGAGTATGTACCTTGTTAACTTCGTCCTAGCCTCACACTAGAGGCGAAGTATGTATACCTTGTTAACCTCGTCCTAGCGTCACACCAGAAGAGGGGTATGTACCTTGTTAACCTCGTCCTAGCGTCACACCAGAAGAGGGGTATGTACCTTGTTAAGCTCGTCCTAGCGTCACACCAGAGGCGGAGTATGTACCTTGTTAACTTCGTCCTAGCCTCACACCAGAGGCGAAGTATGTATACCTTGTTAACCTCGTCCTAGCGTCACACCAGAAGAGAAGTATATACCTTGTTAGCCTCGTCTTAGCGTCACACCAGAAGAGGGGTATGTACCTTGTTAAGCTCGTCCTAGCGTCACACCAGAAGAAAAGTATATACCTTGTTAACCTCGTCTTAGCGTCACACCAGAAGAGGGGTATGTACCTTGTTAACCTCGTCCTAGCCTCACACCAGAGGCGGGGTATGTACCTTGTTAACTTCGTCCTAGCCTCACACCAGAGGCGGAGTATGTACCTTGTTAACTTCGTCCTAGCGTCACAACAGAGGCGGAGTATGTGCCTTGTTAAACTCGTCTTAGCCTCACACCAGAAGACTGGTATGTACCTTGTTAACTTCGTGATAGTCCCACACCAGAGGCGAAGTATGTATACCTTGTTAACCTCGTCCTAGCGTCACACCAGAAGAGGGGTATGTACCTTGTTAACCTCGTCCTAGCGTCACACCAGAAGAGAAGTATATACCTTCTTAACCTCGTCCTAGCCTCACACCAGAAGAGGGGTATGTACCTTGTTAACCTCGTCCTAGCGTCACACCAGAAGAGGGGTATGTACCTTGTTAACTTCGTCCTAGCGTCACACCAGAAGAGGGGTATGTACCTTGTTAAGCTCGTCCTAGCGTCACACCAGAAGAGAAGTATATACCTTGTTAACCTCGTCTTAGCGTCACACCAGAAGAGGGGTATGTACCTTGTTAACCTCGTCCTAGCGTCACACCAGAGGCGGGGTATGTACCTTGTTAAGCTCGTCCTAGCCTCACACCAGAGGCGGAGTATGAACCTTGTAAAGCTCGTCCTAGCCTCACACCAGAGGCGGAGTATGTACCTTGTTAACTTCGTGATAGTCCCACACCAGAGGCGAAGTATGTATACCTTGTTAACCTCGTCCTAGCGTCACACCAGAGGCGGAGTATGTACCTTGTTAAGCTCGTCCTAGCCTCACACCAGAGGCGGAGTATGTACCTTGTTAAGCTCGTCCTAGGCTCACACCAGAGGCGGAGTAGGTTCCTTGTTAACCTCATCCTAGCGTCACACCAGAGGCGGGGTATGTACCTTGTTAACCTCGTCCTAGGGTCACACCAGAGGCGGAGTATGTACCTTGTTTACTTTGTACTAGCCTCACACCAGAGGCGGAGTAGGTTCCTTGTTAACCTCATCCTAGCCTCACACCAGAGGCGGAGTATGTACCTTGTTAACCTCGTCCTAGGGTCACACCAGAGGCGGAGTATGTACCTTGTTAAGCTCGTCCTAGCCTCACACCAGAGGCGGGGTATGTACCTTGTTAAGCTCGTCCTAGGCTCACACCAGAGGTGGAGTAGGTTCCTTGTTAACCTCATCCTAGCGTAACACCAGAGGCGGGGTATGTACCTCGTTAACCTCGTCCTAGGGTCACACCAGAGGCGGAGTATGTACCTTGTTTACTTTGTACTAGGCTCACACCAGAGGCGGAGTATGTACCTTGTTAACTTCGTCCTAGCCTCACACCAGAGGCGGAGTATGTACCTTGTTAAGCTCGTCCTAGCCTCACACCAGAGGCGGAGTATGTACCTTGGTAACTTTGTCCTAGCCTCACACCAGAGGCGGAGTATGTACCTTGTTAAACTCGTCCTAGCCCCACACCAGAGGCGGAGTAGGTTCCTTGTTAACCTCATCCTAGCGTCACACCAGAGGCGGAGTATGTACCTTGTTAACTTCGTCCTAGCCTCACACCAGAGGCGGAGTATGTACCTTGTTAACTTCGTCCTAGCGTCACACCAGAGGCGGAGTATGTACCTTGTTAAGCTCGTCCTAGCGTCACACCAGAGGCGGAGTATGTACCTTGTTAAGCTCGTCCTAGCCTCACACCAGAGGCGGAGTAGGTTCCTTGTTAACCTCATCCTAGCGTCACACCAGAGGCGGAGTATGTACCTTGTTAACTTCGTCCTAGCCTCACACCAGAGGCGGAGTATGTACCTTGTTAACTTCGTCCTAGCCTCACACCAGAGGCGGAGTATGTACCTTGTTAAGCTCGTCCTAGCGTCACACCAGAGGCGGGGTATGTACCTTGTTAACCTCGTCCTAGCGTCACACCAGAGGCGGAGTATGTACCTTGTTTACCTCGTCCTAGCGTCACACCAGAGGCGGAGTATGTACCTTGTTAACCTCGTCCTAGCGTCACATCAGAGACAAAGTAGGTTCCTTGTTAAGCTCGTCCTAGCCTCACACCAGAGGCGGAGTATGTACCTTGTTTACCTCGTCCTAGCCTCACACCAGAGGCGGAGTATGTACCTTGTTAACCTCGTCCTAGCGTCACATCAGAGACGAAGTAGGTTCCTTGTTAACCTCATCCTAGCGTCACATCAGAGACAAAGTAGGTTCCTTGTTAACCTCGTCCTAGCGTAACCTTTGTTGCGAGTGACACAGTGCCTCAAGTAAGGAAGGGTCGAACCAACTCAGTTTCACTGTTAAGAATATTTATTGATTACCAAACCTCTTATTCAATATTTACACAACTGCGATAAACTCTCGACACAAAGCTCGGAGCCGACAGAACAACGCTCGACACAAAGCTCGGAGCCGACAGAACAACGCTCGACACAAAGCTCGGAGCCGACAGAACAACGCTCGACACAAAGCTCGGAGCCGACAGAACAACGCTCGACACAAAGCTCGGAGCCGACAGAACAACGCTCGACACAAAGCTCGGAGCCGACAGAACAACGCTCGACACAAAGGAAACTCCAAGTCATGCAAGGCGAAACAACAATTTATACATGTCCCCTCTGCTAAACCACTCACCATAACAAAAGGTCTAATTCGTATACATTTCAGGGGTAATTGTTCGGCCAAAGCGCTAGAGCTCTTAAGAACCTATCGAGATTCATAGATAAAATATTAAAAGCAGTACGAAAACACAAAACAGAAAAGATATAAAATATCCATGCATGACATACTGTCATCGTGTCACATACTAATACTTTATGTGTACATGCTTATTCTTTAGCTTTGTACCTCCGCAGTGGTTTGGAGAGAATAAACTTATTCTTTCTTTTAGCATGAGATGATATGTCATAAACGATAGTATTATTTTAAAAGAGACTTGATTCATATATTCGGATCGATGTTCATGATGTCAATCATTGGCTTGTCTGGTCCAGACTCGATTATTTACAGACCGCCGTCATATAACTGGACTATTGTTGAGTATGGCGTTAAACAATAAACAAACAAACAAACAAACAAACAAACACCTGCTTAAACCAGGATGCGTGTGAACAACCATGACATAAATAATAATTCAATCAAAGCATACATGTGCTCAACATCAATTCTTCAATATACAGGTAGGATAGTTAACAAGCGAAACTGTATGTTGGATGCAGGTGTTCTGCCGTCGCCAGCACTGCCATGCACAAGAGCAGTGTCAACTTGGTGCCAAGAGCGGATGTACCCCCGCTGCTCGCTCTGCTAGAAGTAGGTTGGCTGCATTTTGGATTCCTTAGCTTCTTGGTGGATTCCGATATGATGGTGGCTGCTTGTGTCGAACACTTAGGAAACAGCGAATGAACGCATCTGTCCATCAGAGAAGGATAACTGCAAGACGACGCAATGAACCGTTTAATATACTTAACACATGAGTGAAGAGCGATTATATGCACATGGCCAATTGGGATGTATTAAGTCTTGTCATATATATCATAAATAATGTGATATCATATCATTTGCAGCCCCTTCATTGCCTGGTGATGTTTTGGGCAATAAAATCAATGGTCAAACTTATCCCCAAGGTCACATTCTGAAGATGAGTGAGTTGGGTTTACCGCCGCTTTTAACATTATTCCAGTTATATCACAGCGTGTCAGCTTAATGTGGGAGGAAAGCCCGAAGTGATGCAGGGCGTTTACCACTTCGGTGAAACCAACGACCACGGGTATGATGCTGACAAACCTAGAAATATGATTGGGGCGAACCGGGATTCGAACCCACAAACATAGGTTTCTGGTGTGCCCAAGGGACGCAGCTCTGCAAAGCGAATCGCGGCGCCTTAGACGACTGTGCCACCCGTGCCCCCTGTCTAAAGATGAGATCGTTTAGACGAGAGTTCAAGAATCATGTACTGTATGTCAAAGAACTTGGTTGATGTCTCTTTTGGGGGTGGCCGTGATCTGAAATGATTGTGACTGGCCTACAAGGACGATAAGCATGTTTGCAAGTTCAACAAATACATGTACATTGTATGTCTATTTCAGCAGATATACTTTTACGTATAATTAGTTGTTTGAATACTGTATAACAAGTAATAACAATCTATGATATCAGAAGTACATCACTGTGACCTACTTTCAATTGGTAGCATATGCTATATTTTCCTTGTTACGTTTAATTGCACTTAGGGACATGTTTTACGTATATGGTAGGTAGTTCTTTGGACTGTTTAAAATCTTTTGACACTCCATTTCTTTGAGAAACAAAAGTGTTCAAGAAATATTCACTGCAGGACGCTGAAATTTGGTACATACGATCCTTAGGCCGGGACATTGAGATGGTTTTGTGTGTCCGTATCATTGAAGGCCAAGATCACTGGAATGGCTATTGTTTTGAAATTCGTTTTGGTGAGAAATAAATCAGAGGATCAAAGCATGTTGTTGTCAATGCCATCTTGTTACGCATATTGTTTAGGATATGTCGTCGATGTCGATCTTATTTCCTTTTTCAAGGGTTTTATATATAGATTGATCATACCTTCGTATGCCAACAAACAGATCACAATCCCTTGCAGCTCGATATATATCCATATTTGTGTGAATTTGCGATTAGGGCCGAGCTACGTGTTGGTAGTGACGTCCACCATTTTAAGTTTGTGACAGTCAGCTTAGGTGCAATGAAGTTAATGATTTTGGCTAACGCTTAGCATTTTGCATTATAAAGTTTATTTAATCTAATGAATTACGTACAGATGAACACGTATTTGTTGCAAGTGTATTTAAGTTGCTGTTAATTTTGACACAAGGAACTATTTAATCTTCGCTGATGTATTCATGCGCGGCATTTACTGCCAAAGCATACCAGTGGCCAATTAGTGTTAGTGTATCAGATAAATTCCAAACGCCTCCTGACATTTGTAATATTCCTCTTTGAATTGTCCATCCTAATTCCCAGTCGATGTTGCAGCAAGGACGTAGCTGGGACGTAGCAGGACGTCACCGTTTATCTTGTGATATTGGAAGGCAATTAGCGAATCAATTAGGCGTAATTAATTGATTAATATAAATACTCATTTTGATATCAACGTACCTACTGAGATGGTCCGCCTGCCTCTTTATCTGAGTGACTTTACGTGTTAAAGTAGATCCCTCTAAGGAATAAGGAATAAATACGTTGAGATCCACACTGGGTCAATCTGACTTTGCAAAGATTACAGGTCAGGTTTAATCCAAGGGCATATATATAAACTAGTGTCCAAAAGAAACGATACCAACTTATTTTCAAAATTGTTTTTTACTAAGTGAATTCTCAAGTATGAAAACATGCCAATTCGTATTGCACATCCCAAACACAGCATAGTCGATAAAAAATACCGGGAACACGTGATCACTTCCGGGAAAAAACGTAAATTTCGTGAAAGTGACATTTCCCTCTCTAGCATGTTCTGCACGTGCAGAAAAACTGTATAAAACGGCTGATCAGACACGTTGATATCACAGCAACAAAAAGAACACAAGATATGCCACGTTTGACAGCCATCGAGAGAGAGAGAGCCGTTGGAATGGTCCAACAAGGAGCGTCACACGTCGACGTCGCCAGAAGGTTGGGTTGCGCACGCATCATTATCACCAGGTTGATGCAGCGGTTACGTCAGACAGGTCAGACGTCAGACTGGCCCAGGAGTGGAAGACCACGAGTAACCACGCCCCGTGAAGATCGTTACATCCGGGTATTACACCTGAGGAACCGCACCGTTACAGCGACGTCCACGGCGGCTACAGCACTGGGATACAGGATCAGTCGACAGACCGTCTACAGGAGACTACGGCAGTATGGTATCCGGCCACGTCATCCCTACCGCGGCCCGCTCCTGACGCCTCGACACCGGAACAACAGACTGATCTGGCCCAGGCGAGTTCGACGTTGGCAACGGCGGGACTGGGCACGTGTTATGTTCTCTGATGAGAGCAGATTCCTCATCTTCAGAAACGATGGACGGCAGCTTGTATACCGACGATTTGGTGAACGTTTGGCGCCTAACTGTATCCAACAGGTCCGGCCGTTTCGAGGTGGAAGGTTAATGGTTTGGGGTGGCATATGTGGTGACGTCAAAACGATGCTTGTCGTAATTCGTTGAAACCTGAATGCACAGCGTTATCTTGATGACATCCTACGGCTTGTTGTGGTGCCCTTTATTCAGCAACAGCCTCGTGGACTCCTTTTCCAACATGACAATGCAAGGCCACACACAGCAAGATTGACACAGAACTTCCTTGCCAACGCCAACGTACAGGTTTTGCCATGGCCCGCATGTTCACCGGACATGAATCCCATCGAGCACTTATGGGACCACCTCGATCGGCAAATCCGACGTCGCCGTGTGCCTCCAGTCAACGTCCAGGACTTGGAACGATGTCTCCTCGAGGAATGGCAACGCATCACTCCCAACGTCATCAGACGTTTGACGTCATCAGTCCGTAGGCGTGTTCTGGCATGTATTGATGCTCACGGTGGACATACCCGCTACTGACTTGACTTTGAGACGTGTGGTGTGACATTTCCCGTTGTTTCTGTGATCAGTGCTCTAACGAAATGTTCAATTTTCGACCCCACCCATCTTTAAAGGTTTGTCATATTGGTTGTACAGATTTTATTGAAATGAAATTTTTGTACAGATGTTGTGAAAGGATTTCTCAAAAGCATAACACCAATCCTAAACTTCTGCAATCTGTTTTTCTTTTATTTCGTTGCAAACAGGTGGTATCGTTTCTTTTGGACATTAGTTTATATACAGTGAACAACTATTGTAGTTACAGGCAATAGCTATACTGCCCTGACACTGGTCCGCGGAAATAAGCCTTAGCCCTCAGAGGGATCTACTTATGAGAAGCATTGTGTCACTCACATGAAAGCATTGCTATACCCACATGAATACAAAAACTGATTGAAAAGAAGTATTTGACTCTTGGTGACATCCAAATGGTCAGGGTTTATCGGAAGTTCTTGTCCGGGTCGCTACAATACAGATTTGCCAGCTTGTCTCGAGTTCGCGATAAAAATACATAGAACCTTGGACTGGGTCCGAACAATGACTTTACTCTGGAAATGTTAAACCTTGATTTCTATGGTGGCAAGTCTCATTAAGAGTTTTGAGATGCGCAATTGCATCTACTACCTTTCTCAACACATACATATATCATTGTACAGAGCATTTTAGACCAAGTATTCAACCAGTTATGTTTTTACCTTTTAAACCAATTGTATTGGCAATCGCTATTGACAAAGGATATATCCTGAAGGGATACAAGTAAAAACATGACGTCACTTCCTGGTTACATCAACACGTGCTAATCAAAGTAGGATCAAAGGCAATAAAGACGCACGACGCTTCTCACAATATCATAGTTGTGAATTAACAAGCTTGAGCTGAGAGTATTCTATTTGAATAAAACATATTTTAAAACAAGGAGTGGCATTGATCAAGTGGACAAACTAAACAGTGATTGCAGCTATGCCTAATACGGTACATTTACACTGTATATAGTTTGTCACAATTGTCATTTAATTGCCGGCGAAATGCATTTTAATATGTCATCACTTACACGTGTTGTGTTCTCAATTTCTTGTGTTTGCAATCGTATTGCTCTAATACTATCACTTTATCTGTCTGGGTGTCTCGAATTTACAACACGGTCTCGCTTGGTTCGAGTTAACGGAGAACAGTGGGGTAGCCTAGTGGTTTAAGCGTTCGCTAGTCACGCCGAAAAACTGAAGGCCTGGGTTCGAATCCCGACATGGGTACAATGTGTGAAGCCCATTTTTGGTGTCCCCAGCCGTGATATTCCTGGAATATTGCTAAAAACGGGGTAAAACCATACTCACTCACTCACTCGAGATAACTGGGTTCGACTGCATATGAAAATCAGTGATGACACCAGGACCCACTTGCATTAAGCGATCTTAGCGCTAATATGATCGTAACTCCCACTCTTTAACATAGGCTTACAATAGTCGTAGCGCTAAGATCGCTTTATGCAAGTGGGCCCAGGGGTTCGCGAAATGCATGGTCAACATACGGTCAATATATAAATGTTTTCAGAGAACTGAACATACGCCCATGAAAGGTTTCAGAATGGTTGAAGTGAAAAGGTCTCATGTCAAATTTCAGTTGTATTGATCTAGACATGTCGGAGAAGTCGAAACTGTAAAATGTTTTTAGACGACGTTTCCGATGTACGACTGGCGATGACTGAAGCTCACCTGGCCTAAACAAGTCAACATCATTCACGAAGCCAAAATGCGTGTTATTCCAAACACTGACCTGCATAAAATCCCGGCCACTTCTTGTGTGGAGGATGATATGTAGAGCTTGACGTACAAGGAGGACATGTCCTCCCGGCAGGTTCCTGTCCTCTGACTCTGGCCTCGGCAGCCGGCTTCTATAACTGTAAATATCGTATGGAACTTATTTTGTCCTCTTATCAATAAATACTTTGATAGGCTTTTCTTAGAAGTTGGCAGATGGAAAAAAGACGCGATTTATGGATAATAATGACTAGATTATACTGTTATGGTGACATTATCGCACATACCCTTATACCGTTGTCAAGCAAGTCTTGGTTGTTAACGGTATTAGGATCTGTACCGAAAGGTGGCTACTACGGTATAATAAAGGTATTGGTATCCATAAATTGTGTCCGCTTTGCCTCTTTGCAATGTAGCCATTTTGTCAACCCTCCGGTCATCGCATCTAATATAAGCCAATAATAATCAGCAGCACAGTAACAAAAACTTATTGCAGGTATTCAGTGGTATATATATATATCCTAACAGTGAATGATGAAAATTGTATTTGTATATTCATGTACTCCGATGTAATCGGAAAATTGCTCCTCTGTTCTTCGGTTCGTGATTTCATCCCACATCACGCATCTTCCCGAGGCAAGAGTGTTAACGGACTTTAAAAGGCCCGTGTTCCACCCTTGCCGAACTAGGCTGGAATTACTGGACTCGATCGTAGCGCCACCAGTGGCTATCACCAGTTATGTCCCTTCTGAGCCTCTCCTATGGACCAATCAGATTCCACCTCACGTATCACTTGTGTTTGCTTCACACAAAATGGTGGCGCAGAGTCGGGACGATCTGATCGATAATCAAGATCTATATTGTGATACAACGGGTCTTACATCATGCAATGCGTGAGCACCTTGATTAAAAACATGAACAGATTTAGAAAATATCTGCTGACAACGAGTTGGCGGTGCACATGCTTTGCAAATCCTGCAATCGACCGAAATCTGCACGACAGTTTACTAACCGGATTTCGATTTCGGTGCGCGATTTTGATTGGACTTTGCATAGACTCGTTAGTCCAGCCAAAATGTAACTCCATAATACCAGCCTAGTTCGGCAAGGGTGGAAACAGGACTTTTATAGTCAGTTAACTCTCTTGCCTCGGGTAGATTGCACCACGCTGATATACTGGTAACTGTTCAATGTGGCGTTAAACCAAACTCATTCCCTCATCTAGTGTGATGTTGTTGAACCGTTCCAGTGATACTGTAGTCGGGAAATAGCATGGTGTCTTACCATTTCTGTTCTTGCAGAGATAGTTCCTGTACTCAGCAATATTCTGGCTAGGAAGTATCGTCATGTGCCATTTAGCTGGAAGGCATTTCAACACCTTTTCCCGCAAACACTCAGATAGTTTCTTGTCAACATCCTTGTCGCTGGAAAAAGTATCTATGGATAAAACTATCGTTTTCAAAAGGATGAACAAGTTCACATTTTGCACATTTACATTTTGCATCGAGGCTCTATAAATATGAGAAAGTGGCAGGATTGTATATACTTGTAGTACCCCATTATTGCACCAGAAACAAATGGGGTCCAAATTCATTAAGGGAATAAAAGAGAAAGTTTAAGATGTTTAAAAAGTAACTGTCGCTACGCCGCAGCTGGGAATGACAGAGCTATATCACGGTAAGTCTTTGAAAGGCATTTAGAAGTTAGGAAGGAAGAGAATTTACGGATGTCAGGTAAATAACCTGATGAAGGAGTAAGCATATACTCCGAAACATTGTGTTCCTCATAATAGTGAGTGAGTGAGTTGGGTTTAACGCCGCTTTTAACAGTATTCAAGTTATATCGCGGCGTGTCAGCTTAATGTCTCAGACGTTTACCACTTCGGAGAAACCCACGAGCACGGGTATGGTGCTGACAAACCTAGAAACATAATTTGGGCGAACCGGGATTCGAACCCACAATCATAGGTTTCTGGCGTGCCCAAGGGACAACTCTGCACAGCGAACAGCGGCGCCTTAGACGACTGGGCCACCCGTGCCCCCGTTCCTCATAATAAAAAAGTTGACACCAATAAATCCTCTTCCTTATATCACGGTAGTCTGTCTATGGTCGAGTCCTAGCATGGTGGTTCGGTTTGCATGGAAACCCCGTGATTGGCGAACAATGACTCATAAGCCGGGTCACACATTGTGACACCCCCCTCCCCCCTCTCGACCTCGTTATGGTCCTAGGACAGCCATGCATGGCTGGAACATATACTGATATCACCGCGGCCAAGGAACACCCACGGAGGAATAAAAGAAACCATATTAACGTGTGTACATACCCCGTGTATATGTTGATAATAGCTACTGGACCCTTTGCTTTAGGGGGTGGTCGGGTAGCCTAGTGGTTAAAGCGTTCGCACGTCACGCTGAAGACCCGAGTTCGATTCCCGACATGGGTACAATGTGTGAAGCCCATTTCTGGTGTCCCCCGCCGTGATATTGCTTGAATATTGCTAAAAGCGGCGTAAAATCAAACTCACTCAGTAATTCACTTTCGCTTAAGCTTAGTTCCGAAGCACCCTAAGATGAGGAAGAAAGTTGATGCGAGAGATCACAGTGGTGATGTTTCAGCTCAAACGGAGCTATGATTGCGAATTGGCCTGGATTCCAAAGCCCGATAAAATGGCGCTATTTACACATAACTGATGATGAATCTTTGTTTGAAGGAAGTAGTTTAGAACTTACAAAGACTTGCATAATCTTCCCAAAGCACCCTTTAGGATGTGTGTAGAAGATTCCGGTAGCCCCAGTAGATGTAGGTCGATAGTGAGTGGTGTGAGGGCTGCTGATGAGTTGCCCTGTACGCTTGATGCACAGGCTGCAAGGTGCGCGTCTCGGACCTGACCCCGGCATCTGAGGAACTGAGACATGAAAGTCTCAGTTTGACATCCCAAGATGACTGCAATGAGAATATAATTTCTTTCGTTTGAGGGACGAATTAGAACGAAATTATTTTCTCCTAACGTCGGCACAACAAAGGGAGGTAACCTGGTTTCGTAATGGGTATATAAGTAAAGGCGGGAAGTTGAAACTTCATTCTCAGGTGCGGTGCAGTCGGGCTGGCTAGATTAAACATGTTCGGTTATCTATGATGCCGATTGGAGTACACGTCGGTTGAATCTATTATTTATGTGTGTAGTACCTGCGGCTGTCCATGTGATGATCAGGATGTTATGCGTTGCTTGCAAGTTGTGCTGGCGAGCCATGATAATACGTCGTGAGATGGATCGGTATCCATAGTTGAAATCTCGAACACTCCAGTTGTGAGAGTATGGATTTGGGATATACTCTGATGAGTATGCGCTGACGAGCCATTAGAATACGTGATAAGGCGTCGATGCCTGTGTATATGTACACGTTGAAAATATGAAGCATCGAATCTATATTCATGTAAATTACGGTTGGTTGATGGTCATGATGCTGGTGATGTTCCTGATGCGGACGATGTTCATGATAATTTGAATACTTGCAGAATAAACTGCGGTCAGTCAGTGCACCGTACAGTATCCCAATATGTTGTAGTTGTGTATTTTGTTGTGTTAAGGGGGAGAAGGAGGAGAAGATGATCATGATCAGCACGTTGACCAAACATTCAACTCCAGTTTCACACGCACGCACGCACGCACGCACGCACGCACGCACGCACACGCACACGCACACGCACACACACACAGTGTGGGAGGTACATGTTAACATGGACAGTGTAAGAGGAACGTAAAATCACTCATTCAAAAGAAACACAAAACATTTCACGATAAAACATTGTTCTATCATAACTTCTTTGATAGGTATTTAGAAGTTGGAGTACTAAGTAAGGATAAGAATTTATGGATGAACTGAGATTACCACGTCTTCATGTAGACGTGGCAATCTCAACGATCAACCGACTCAACAACCTTGAGAACAAATACATCCATTCTTCCAACCACCTTACGTTCCTGATGCGATGCAGAGCTCTTGATTGTAATAAAGAAGTTGTCCATCCATAAATTCTTATCCTTACTTAATTGTTCTATCATGACGTCATTTGTGGAGATTCGAATATGCGCTCGCAACTTGTTGACGTCATACACTGAACAAAGTTTACTTTTGAGAGGAAGATGTTTAGTAAGTTATTCCCCATAGATGTAGCTTGGCCTCGCAGACGATTTGGGTGGTGGTTGGTTTGTTGTTTGACTGTGTATGTGATTTGTTTGTTTATTGTTTAACGCCGCACTCAGCAATATTCCAGCTATATAACGGCGGTCTGTAAATAATCGAGTCTGGACCAGACATCCAGTGATTAATATTATGAGCATCAATCCACGCATTTGGGATCGATGACATGCATCAACCAAGTCAGCGAGCCAAAGCACAGGATCCCGTTAGTCGCCTCTTACGACAAGCATAGTCGCCTTTTACGGCAAGCATAGGTTGCTGAAGACCTATTCTACCCCGGATTTCACGGGTCCTCGCAGAAGAACGCAGTGGCCGAACGATCGCATCCCAAAGTGGGAGAAATATGACAACCAGTATTAAAAGAAAAGGTACAGATGAAGGGGTTTGTGAGAATAAATTTAACCCACCTGTTCGTGAAATGGACTTGTCTGACATTTCCGAGGTCGGATTCAATTAGGGAGTCATCATTATTAAAAGTTGTGTAAATATGTTCAAAGCTTGTACATTTTAACAACATCCCTGAAGAGGCTGTACATCAGGTTGATATCTCAAATGAGAAATACACGACGGGTGGAAGTGTTTACTCATGGTTTATTCTCCCTGCAGTGTTTTATTGTACGAGAAACAACTCACACTCGTCGTTTATTACTTAAATAGGAGACACAGTCCTGACAATGTGTGTGTACACGTGCATACTCAAAGTTTAAAAAAAATAACTCTCAGGCAGTATACCGATATAAACATAAGACGTCACGCACGGCGACACATTGACCGTTAAGTATTGCCTATAAAACGGGCCTATAAAAAGACTATTACATATGAAGGTAAGCCTCAATAGTTATGGCAATGTCAAGGTCAATATAGCTTGATTGTATTACTGCCAATTTTGATTGTGCGTATGTTTTAAAGAATAGAATCGATGAAAATACAAATCAGACTTTGATTGAAGACTTGAAGAATCTAACAACATACATTGCATTAAGTATAAGTAATATATATTACAAAATATAGTCCAAAAATAGTTGAACACAACCACGAACTTCTATAAACACCTGAACTTATAAACAGGTCATGAACATGTCTATACTAGATTCTGTACAAAATAGTTTGTTCCCACTGAAAAAGGCGTCAGAAACATCACCATCATATGTGATCATATCTACATCATTTGTTGCAAAATGAACTTCGTATAAGTGACATATCAAACACTGCAACATATTCGGCCAGAGTGTTAATGGAGAAAGACTCTGCCCAAAACACGCATCAGGTCTATCAACTCTAAAATCTGGATACATGATCATACCTCCTTTGTACTGGATTCAAAAGCTTCATAAAAAATCAAACAAAGAGAGATATATTGCTGGGTCCAGCAAATGTACCACCAAATCCTTGTTTCAAATCCTTAATCCTCATGACAATCAAAGAAAGATTTTCTTTATATTTACAGAGCGTATTTAAGCCAAGTGAATTTAATACCATATTGTTTCTCAAAAAACAAAAATCCTTTTAGCAATCTCAGAAAGGAACTCATTTTATTTTGTTAAGTTATTTGTCATCTATATAACACCACCATTTCACATGACAAAGGTAAATGAACAAGCTTCTTATCTGGATCCAGGAAGTACACAGAGATAAAGTCGGAATCGCACAAATGAGATTTCTTGTGAATATTGAAAGGATTTTGTCGTTTGTTTATTCATTTACATACGACCTGAATAAGCCATGAGACCTCTGCAGGACAAGAAGCCGCGAAGGAGAATTAACATTTACTATCCAGCATCACAGCGACTTCCTGGTTGCAGCATTGGAGGAACCTTGGTTTCTGTATGACCATGGAAAGGGATTTGTCGCTTTTCTTTATATTACTACAGCAGGCTGACTATCCGTGTACCATAACACGATACGTGGCAGTTCGACAGTGATTTGATTGGTAATTAAAGTTAAAATGCTTGTGAGAGTCAGCCTGGCATGTTGGCTGACTAACATCTTCAAGGTGCCACGTGGACATGGATGTAGTTGTACCATTATGTTGTTTGTTGTTTGTTGTTTAACGCCTTGTACCATAATGTAGTTGCCTTAATTTCACGAAATAAAATGCTGTGGATGCACGTGTTCTCCTGTGGTTGAAGAACTGATATTCCAAACCTATTCAACCCCGAGAAAATGCATTTTATTAAATACTGGTGAAGTTGTCATAACATGGAGAAACATATCTACATATACGCAGGTGTCATGCAAATATCAAAAATAAATAAATAAAAGCGTGTTTTCCACACACACAATCCAAACATACAAGATACAAGATTTTTTATTGCGCAAACGTTCCAAGTAGAAACGGAGACAATATTCTATATACTATATAAACAGATACATAAGAAGTTAGGATAACACCACAAAGGATCAATACTAAATATTACATTATGACCCTGGGTTATCTATAAGTACTTCAGACTGATTTGAAGTTGTTTCCATGATAGCAGATAATTTCTGTGTCCCCTGGGCCATTTTTTGACAAAAGAGGACCAATTATTTCTGTCATTTTATGGCTTTCAAAATATTGATTTTTAAAAAAAATATGTAAGCATTTTCTTGAGTTTTCGAAAACAAAATCCTTTCAAATGGAAAGCTCATAATCGGGTCTTATAAAATAAAGAACGGCGTAACTATTGAAGCCGGACTAATTGAATCCAACTGCTGTTTTGATAATACTTCCATTCGCATATTGTTTACACGCCATCAGAGTTGAAGCACAGGTGTCTAATGTCACGTGTTTCTGTGACAGATGTGTACGTGGTGACCCCAGTATGGACAAACACATGCCCCTTGAAATATGTGGAGAAATGCCAGCAATGACTTGTATGTTTTCACATACATTTCGTGTTGATGTCAGTTATGAAAACATGCAGGTTCGCCACGAGTTGGCACTAACGCGTGTACATAGAAGAACTATGTTGATACATGTCAGCAAATCACGATGCAGTATTGATTTCAGAAATAGGGGTAAACGGGTTCGCTGGTTTTCATCCAATGGGGATGGAGGGAGTGAGGGACGTAGTTCAGATGCATCAGGAAATCAAACCGGTTCCTCCGCTTGACAACACAACCATTCCACTTTGTAGTCGACTCCTTAGTGCGTTGTAACATTGTACGGGGGCACGGGTGGCCCAGTCGTCAAGCCGCAGGGATTCGCTGTGCAGAGTTGCGTACCTTGGGTACGCCAGAAACCTATGATTCTAGGTTCGAATCCCGGTTCGCCCCGATTATGTTTCTGGGTTTGTCAGCACCATACCCGTGCTCGTGGGTTTCTCCGAAGTGGTAAACGTCTGAGACCTGCATCACTTCGGGCTTTCCTCCCACATTTAGCTGACACGCTGTGATATAACTGGAATACTCACTCACTAACATTTCACATTCTGTGTGTATGTGGAGTACATACTGTGATTCATAATAAAGAGTGTTTACAAATTATGTAATTTTTAAAGAAACCGATTCAATGCAAAATGCAGACTGTATATGTGAGTAGGTGTTTATAACACCGGGCACTCTATACGATATCAATCTATTCTCTACACAACTCTTGGACAAGGATTAAAGAGCTAAAGAGAGCGACTGAAGGTTGTCATACTCATTCAACAATATTCCAACTAAATCGCGGCGGCCTGTAAAGATCTGGGTCTGAACCACAAGCTATACCACATAGGCATGCAGACATCT